ACAATCTGGGTCCTCATTTTACCCATCTTGGAAGGATGGAAGGCTGAGTCAACCTTGAGCTTGGTGAGATTTGAACTGTCAAATTCCTGGCAGGCAGCAGGCAGCAGAAGTAGCCTGCAGTACTGCATTCTAATCACTCTGCCACCAAGGCTCACAAAAGCATGACAAAATAAATACAAAAAATACAAAAAAAATATGCATATACCCACATATATTATATGACACAAATAACAGTCTAATTCGAATGTATACATGTACATGGCAAGAAAAATGAATCTTGTGAGTTTACCAGACGGACGGCATAGGGAGCAAAGCTGTTACAGAATCTGGGAGTCTTGCTAGAAATACTTTGAAAGCTCCTCCCAGAGGGGAGCAACAGAAACAGATTGTAAAGTGGGTGTGTGGGATCTCTATAACACATTGGGCATCTTGTTACTTAAGACAAACAAAGACAAAAATAAGTCTCAAAAATGCATGTATTTTACAACTGCATCATTTCCAGGGAGTTAGGTCTGCCCTCTGTTTCTGTACCATATGGAGTTTTATATCAGTGGAGTCCTAAGACAGAATAATGAAAGATCACTATCGGCTAACACTTGTGATAACTACAAGAAGCCTCTGTTGAGTAGCAGAGTCTGGGGAACAAAGCATGCCTTCAACGAAAATGTTTTTGCAAAGAACACTGGTGTAGCTGGACTTCGGTCTGATCCAACAAAGTTATGCTACTAATTATAATGAATACTCCAGTATTGTGTATAAGGAAGTGAAACCGCACTGGCATTGAATAGTAATATCCAAATAAAACCCTGGCCTAGTACTATTGTAAGAAGAGAGAAGTATATCCACACCTTTTATAAACAACCATGAGCTGTTTTTATAAATTCCTTGTTTTGTTTTGTTTTTTAAACTGATCACAGGTGACAAAATCTTTGCTCTTGTTTTCCCGGCATGAAGGTTCTGATGATTGCTGACAGTTGTTCAGCCCACTTAACTTTGGATTTATCTTAGGACATAAAAGCAAACTAGTCAAGTCAGAACAACAGCCCTTGAGATGGGTTGGATTGAGAGTGACTGGCTCAAAATCACCCAGCTGGATTTCCTGTCAAAGATGGGACTAGAACCGGAGGTGGTATTCAGTAGGTTCTGACCAGTTTTGGAGAACCGGTAGTGGAAGTTTTGAGTAGTTTGGAGAACCAGTAAATACTACCTCTGACTGGCCCCGCTCCCATCTATTCTCTGTCTCGCAAGTCCCAGCTGATTGAGAGGAAAGGGGCATTTTATAGTATCCTTCCCCTGCCATGCCCACCAAGCCACGCGC